ATGCTGACGTTTTGGGTTGGTACCCTTCTTCAGACGCTTCTTCATTTCTGTAGAAGGGTCCCGACCCAAAACATCAGCATTCCTGCTCCTCTGATGCTGTCTGGCCTGCTGTGTTCCTCCAACTCCACACTGTCCTGTTTCTGACTCCAGCATCAGCAGTTCTTACTATCTTTAAGGCATCCCTTGGCACCACTTATCATTTAACTGAGGAAGGGAAGAACAAAATGTATTTTCAAATTAACAACTAAATGAGTAAATATTTGTGCCTTATAGAACAAAAGAGATTCTCATTTGTCTCCAGTCTTTCACAAATTCAGGTGTCCCAAAGTACTATATACCCAGCAAGGTACTTTTGAAGTGCAGTCACTATAGTAAATGGATATTTAGCAGCAAGTCCTTGATATTTACAGTCGTTTTCCAGGAGCTTCCTAATGTTTTCTTTGTTTAGAAGAAAAGATCACTGTTGCTTATTTTGTCATCATTCATCCATAGAACAGTTAAGATGAGGTTAAAGCCTGAATTTCTGTAATGATGGAGAGGATCTCTGTCTTAGCCACAATGATGACACAGCCCTGATTGTCGAAGTCCACAGAGGAAAAGCCAGTACAACCTGGAAATGATCTACTGGTCCGAATTTTCTTATATACTTCAAAATGGTGGTCCAGTACTTTGCATTTCCATGCGTTACCTTTTGTTTCCCCTCTGAATCCCGTCCTCGAACCTGGCATTCACCATATTTTTGTGATTTGGGGAAGAACAAAGAACAATACAGCACAGGAACAGGCCCTTTGGCCTTCTAAGCCTACACCACCACATTTTGCCCTTCCATACTAAAACTATAGGATCTGTATCCCTCTATTCCCTTCCTAGTCATGTATTTGTCTAGGTGCTTCTTGACTGTTCCTTTCATGCCTGCTTCCAAAATGTTCCAGGCACTCACTGCCCTTGATGTGTAAAGTCTCTCTCGCATATCTCTTTTTAATTTCCCCTTTCGCACCTTGAGCCTTTGACCCCTAGTAATTGACCCCTTCACCCTGGGAAAAAGCCTCATACTTTCAACTCTATCCATGCCATTTACAATCTTATAAACTTCTATTTGGTCGCCCCTCAACCTCCTGTGTTCCAGTGAAAACAAACCCAGTCCAGCCAACCCTTCTTCACAGCTAAAATCCCCCATACCAGGCAACATCCTGGTAAAACTTTCTATACCCTCTCCAAAGCCCATATCCTTCTGGTAGTGTGGTGACCAGAACTGTACGCAGTATTCCAAGTGTGGCCTAACTAAAGTTCCATAAAGCTGCAGCATAACTTGCCTATCCTTATACTCAATGCCCCGTCCAATGAAGGCAAGCACGCCGTTGGCCTTTTTTACTACCTTATCTACCTGCGCTGCCACCTTCAGTGATCTGTAGACCTGCACACCCAGATCCCTCTGCATATCAATACAACTAACGGTTCTACTATTCACTGTATAATTTCCACCTGCACTTGACCTTCCAAAATGCATCATCTCACATTTGTCCGAATTAAACTCCATCTGCCATTTTTCTGCCCATGCCTCCAACCAATTTATATCCTGCTGTATCCTCTGACAATCCTCCTCACCATATGCAACTCCACCAATCTTTGTATCATCCGCAAACTTATTAATTCGACCAGCTATGTTTTCCTCCAAATTTTATGTACATCACGAACAGCAGAGATTGCAATGCTGATTCTTGTGAAGCACCACGAGTCACAGTCCTCCATTCCGAAAATCATCCTTCCACTGCTACCCTGTGTCTCCTATGTCGAAGCCAGTTCTGTATCCATCTTGCCAGGTCACCTCGATACCATGTCACTTCACCTTTTTGTGCCAGTCTGCCATGAGGGACCTTGTCAAAAGCTTTATTGAAGTCCATGTAGACAGCATCAACTGGTTTTCCCTCATCCATCATCTTTGTCACCTCCTCAAAAAACTCTATTCCCCACACAAAACCATGCTATCTATTGCTAATAAGTGCATTTGCATCTGAATGCTATTAGATCTTGCCCCTGAGAATCTTTTCCAATAATTTCCCTACCACCGACATGAGACTCACAGGCCTGTAATTTCCAGGATTATCCCTGCTACCCTTCTTAAACAATGGGACAACATTAGCTATTCTCCAGTCCTCTGGGACTTCACCTGTGGCCAAAGAGGATACAAAGATGTCTGCCAATGCTCCAGAATTGGTTTTCTTGCCTCTATCAATATTCTGGGATAGATCCCATTAGGACCCAGGGACTTATCTACCTTAATACATTTTAAAACGCACAACACCTCTCCCCATTAATAGCAACTTGGCTTAGAAACTTGACACTCCCTTCCCTGAGATCATCCTCCACCAATTCCTTCTCTTTCATGAATACTGGTACAAAATATTCATTTAGGACCTCACCTACCTCTTCTGGGTCCACACATAGATTCCCTTTTTTATCCTTGACTGGGCCAACCCTTTCGCTGGCTACCATGTTGCTTTTTCTATTTGTATAAAAAGCTTTGAGATTCTCCTTAATACTGTTTGCTAATGATTTTTCATGACCACTTTTAGCCCTTCTAACTCCTTGTTTAATTTCTTTCCTACTTTCCTTATGTACTTCAAGGGCTTCATCAGTTCCCATCCTCCTACACCTTACGTATGCTTCCTCTATCCTTTTGACCAAGGTCATAAAATCCCTCGTCATCCAAGATTCATGTAACTTGCCATATCAATCTTTCATTCTTGCAGGAACATGCTGCTCCTGAACTCCTATCAACTGCTGTTTGAAATAACCCACGCATCCGATGTGGATTTACCCTCAAACAGCAGCCTCCAATCAAAATTCTCCAGTTCCTGCCTAATGTTGTTGTAGTTCACCTATCCCCAGTTTAACACCTTCACCTGAGGACTGCTGTTATTTCTGTCCTGAGTATCTTAAAACTCATGGTATTATGGTCATTACTCTCGAAATGCTCCCCCACTTAAACTTCACTCACCTGGCCGGGCTCATTTCCCAAAACCATTTCCCTGGTTGGACTGTTTACATATCAAGAATCCCTTCTGATTGATCCTTACAAATTCTGCCCCATCCAAGCCCCTAGCACATAGTGAGTCCCAGTTAAAATAACCCACAACAACCTTGCTGATTTTACATCTTTCCAAAATCTGTCTACATATACTCTCCTCTATCTCCCTCTGGTGTTGAGAATCCTGTAATATACCCCCAGGATTATGATTTCACCTTTCCTATTCATGAGTTCTACCTGTATTGCGTTGCTGCATGAGTCCTCCGATGTATCCTCCCTCAGTACAGCTGTGAGATACACCTTTACCAGTAATGCAACTCCCTGAACCTTTTTGCCGCCCTTTCTATCACACCTGAATCATCTACATCCTGGGGCATTCAGCTGCCAGTCCTGTCCCTCTTTCAGCCAAGTCTCTGTAATCACAAGAATGTCATAGCTTGAAGTATTAACCAAAGCTCTAAGTTCACCTAACTAGCCTATTATACTTCTCTCATTGAAACACTTGCATTTCAGACCACCTCTCCTGTTCTTTTCAGCAGTGTTTCCCAGCTTGTTCTTGTTCTGAGCAATATTTGCCTTGGTTTCTACCTCTCCCTCAATTTCTGCATCTACGACCCTCTCCTCTGGTTCCCATTCCCCTGCTACACCAATTTAAACCCTCCCCAAACACTCTACCAAGTATCCCTCCAAGGACAACAGTCCTGTTCCTGCCCAGGTATAACCTGTCCAGTTTGTACAGGTCCCACCTCCCCCAGAATCGGTCCCAATGCCCCACGAATCTGAAACCCTCCCCCTCACACCATCTTTTCAGCCACTTGTTCATCCTATATATCTTGCTGTTCTACTCTGACTAGCTCATGGCACTGGTAGTAATCCTGAGATAACTACCTTTTGAGGTCCTACATTTCGACTTTCTTCCTAATACTCTTTATTCTGCTTTTAGGACCCCATCCCTTTGTTTTAACCTGCGTTGTTAGCACCAATGTGTACCACAATCACTGGCTGTTTGCCCTCCCCCTCCAGAGTGTCCTGCAACTGGTCTGAGACATCCAGGACCCTAGCACCAGGGAGGCAACACACCATCCTGGACTTCCGTTTGCAGCCGCAGAAACACCTATCTATTCCCCTTACAATTGAATCCCCTAGAACTATAGCATTTCTATCCCTATGTCTCCCTCTCTCTGCAGCAGAGCCAACCACTGTGCCATGAATTTGGCTGCTGCTCTTCTCCCCTGAGAGGCCATTCCCCTGAACAGTATCCAAAACAGTGTATTTGTTGTGCAGGAAAATAGCCACAGGCAATTCCTGCACTGCCTGCTGAGCCCTCCTGGTCTGCCTGGTGGTCACCCATTCCCTTCCTGCCTGTGGAATTTGAATTTGCAGTGTGACCACCGTGCTATCCATGACACTGTTCGCCTCAGGAATGCTCCACACTGTCCCCAGTGCTATCCACGACACTCTTTGCCTTGCGAATGCTCCACAGTGTCCCCAGATGCCACTCCAACTCTGAAATCCGGGCTTCCAGGAGCTGCAGCTGGAGGCACTTCTCGCACATGTGCAGGTTCCAGTGCCTGGCTTTCCACATCGAGCAGGAGGAGTAGGCTATGATTTGGAACTCTCCTGCCATATCTTACCCTTTTAAGTTAATTAATCCTTACAATGTTAAGTACTTTTGATACTAAGTTGAAACTTCTAATGCTCTCTGCTCCGATAACAATTTCACAAAACTTACCTCTTACTCACCAACAACAGTTTCCAGAAAGAGTTTAGGCTTGCGCTCCTTTACCCACTGGAACTCTTGCTGCTGACCTTCCTCTCACAATGTTCTGTCTCCTCTGAACTTTGAATGAGGGGTAACTGTACATTTGTGGTTCACGGAGATAACTGCACATGTTGAACAACAGCTGCCTTCAAACAGACCCTATTCTCACTAGAGAGATTTCCAAAATACGACTTTACACTTTTCAAGAGAATGCCGATGGTATTTCGAGAGGTAAGGTACACTTTTGCAGATGTTCGGGGACACCTTGGAGAAAGATCAGGAGACTTTTGGGAAAGGTCAAGTACCCTTTGGGTGATATTAAGCACAATTAGGTATAGTTAAGAGCAGACATGAAAATGTATAAAAATGGGAAAACTCATTGACACTGTCGGGGAACTGTCAACTGTCTGAATCTCCTGACATTTAAATTTTTGGAAAAGCTACCTGTGACATAAAAAATAAAAGTCACTGTGTGCTGTTTCACTATTTGATGACATAAGCCAGAGAATTATCATTACATATTGTGCTGCGTGACTGATTACACAATCTATCATTTTTCACTGTGGAGTCTCATCACGTCACAGTTTGACAGCTTCAAGTGCTTCTAAAGTTTCAGAAGTAGTACTATGAATACCAGTGTTTAGTTTTGTGAGGGATTATGTAGTTGAAGCGAGCCAAATTTGGTAAATGAGATTTATTCATGAGGTTTCTAAAAATAATATTGAATTTATCAATAGGTGCTTTGGGCATCAACTGGCATTGGAGGCAGTCCAACGAAGGTTCACTAATTGATCCCTGGTGTGGAGTAATTGTCTTATGAGCAGAGTAGTTCACTGGAGTTTAGAAGAGAGGTAACCTTATTGAAACATATGTAGTTCTTTAGGATGGTAGATGCTGAAAGGTTGTTTTCCCTTGTGAGAGTCGAGGATTGCGTGCATGATCTCAGAGTTGAGAGAAGTTTCTTTTTTGAGGATAGTGAATCTGGGGCTGTAGATGCTGGGTCATTAATTATATTTAAGGCTGAGATAGACCTTTTCAGCCAGTAAGGGAATGAATAATTTTGAGGTAAGGGAGTTGAGAATTATCAGATCGGGCATGATCTCATTGAAAGGCAGATCATACCTGATGGGCTGAAATGACACTTCTGCTCCTGTGTACTATGATTGCTTGGTGTTATGCTAGATATTCCAGTGTGGAACACTGCCTTTACAAGAAAAGAAAACTAATTTCTGAAAAGGAGAAGTATGTTTGAAAAAGTCACAAATATTTTCATGCTTTTGTTGATGAGGGTTTATGATCTGGTTATCTTCAAAACACTTCCATTGCATTGACATTTAATAATGATGTAGTATAAGCAAATAAATATATCTCAACTTTCTATTGACAGCTATTAGGATTTTGTTATAACTCCCTTTGGAGAATGAGCACTTCATTCTCATATCTGTTTGCATGTATAATAAATAGAGCAGAAAAGGTATTGACTTGGCAACAGATGGCTTAACCTGCTGCTGAAACCATTGCATGTTTAAAAGAAAAGTCTTGTGTGCACCAGTTATTTCTGTATCAATTGTCTCATGAACTTAATGCAAATTCAGATATCAAACAACGACGAAGCCGAATACAGAAAGGACACAGAGGGCTTGGTGACGTGGAGCAATGAGAACAACCTCTCTCTCAATGTCGGCAAAACTAAAGAACTGATCATTGACTTCAGAAAGAAAGGAGGACAACACTCTCCTATCAACATCAATGGAGGAGAGTTTGAGCAGGATGAGAGCATCAAGTTCCTCGGAGTAACGATAACCGATAACCTGTCATGGACTTCCCATGTAGATGCAACGGTCAAGAAGGCACAACAACGCCTCTTCTTCTCAGGCAACTCAGGAAATTTGGTATGTCCACAAGGACTCTTATCAACTTTTACAGATGCACCATTGAAAGCATACTGTCCAGGTGCATAATGGCCTGGTATGGCAACTGTTTTGCTCAGGACCGTAAGAAATTACAGAAGATGGTGTGCACAGCCCATACGATCACAGAACCTTCCATCCATGAACTGTGTTTACACGGTTCACTGTTGTGGAAAGGCGGCCAACATCATCAAAGACCCATCGCACCCCAGTAATGACCTCCTACAACCTCTTCCATCAGGCAGAAAATGCAGAACCTTGAAGACATGCACTAACATGTCCAGAATGATTGGTAGAATCTGTGGCCAATATTTCCCCACACAGCAGCTTCTTCGCTGCTATTATTAGAGTGCTGATTGGACTCTAACTTCAAAAAATGCTGATCTTGCTAATGTTGATCTTGCCTAGCACATGTCCTGTGTGATGTAACCTGTATGCCTCTGTCCAAGTTTTTTTCACCCTATGTCCTTGCTTACTATGATCTGCCTGTACTGCTCGTAAACAAAACTTTTCACTGTACTCAGGTACACATGACAATAAATCAGTCAAATCAAATCAAATTGTGACAGTCTGTTAGAATATGTGGCTGGATATTGAAACAGTTTGGGCTCTGTACGTGTAATGGATGGGTGTGCAGTCTGGAGTCACTGACCACCTAGCTGATTACCTGTTGAGATTCCAGCAATTGTATTTAAACAGAAAACTGCCCCTCACAGCCTGAATCATCACACAAGCATCTCCCACCTCCAACTGTGGAGCTGGTACTGGATGGCCTTTGCCTTAAAGCACCAGCAGCCTGATTGGACATTTTCTGTTCTTTAATTGTCAGATACCTTAAACTGGGATTTGTCTAAAGCACTTTTGTACAGAGGCAAGCTCTTGAGGCAGTCCCCAACCCGGTTTCTGACCCCGGATGAAAAATGCAGCTCATGATTTCTGAAACAGCAGGAAGCACAGCTGTCGCATTTTGTAACCGGAGAACTGCAACTGTGCAATTGGTGACCTCAATTTGAGTCAGTCACTAATAGTTCTTTTAAAACTATGCTTCTAAAGTAAAGTTTGATTCACAATTAACTGTACAATTTCTGGATTTTGAATGCTCATGATTTGGTTTTAAGTCATATTGCTTTCCTGTTTGGTTGCACTGTGTAGTCTCTGTTTTATTATTCAGACTTTCTGAGGCAGACTCCTTATGACTAAAAAAAGACTCTTCTGAAATGCAATGCTTGGTCTGCATTCACACCTAGCCATAAGATATTTTATTGGTATATATTTTCCTGAAAATTTACAGTAAAATAGTGGGACATTGACAAGCTTCATTACAGTACAAAAGTCTGCCATTTCAAAGGGGACAGTAGAAAATATGCCCAACCACAAACAGATTTTAACAAGGATACAACCAAATCCTACTGCATTATACAGTACAGTTTACTTTTAATGTATGTTTGCCACATGATGTTTCTCCTTTGTTTTTGATTTCCTGCTGTTGAAGAAAATTTGAAGAAAATGATACGTAGATCAGCGTTCTGGCCATGTGATGTGGTCACATTATGGAGGTGGGCAGGTGCAAAACTGCATGCTGCAGGGTGGCATGTTGGTTTGCTGAAACTATTCCATCACTAGGCAATATTTACTGAGGTGGGGTTGGGATTGGCAGCTGTGCCTGCCTGCAAGCAGTGGGTGCCCAATTACTTGGGTTAAAGGGTTACTTAGGGCTTGTCGTCCAGAATGATTGGTAGGATCTGTGGCCGTCCTGATTCGTCACTTGTTTGGCCTCAGGCTACCATATGGAAGAATTGCCAATCCAAAATGGCCCCATCATTGTCCGTTACTTGAACATTTTCCTGACCTGCTCTCTACCTTTGAAAGGATGGCCACTCGCTTACCTGCCTTACGTGGATGGCAAGATTGTCCCTGGGCTAATATTTCCCCACTCACCACAGGGTTATTTCCCATTTGACCCTGATGCATGGATCCTAAATGAAAAACAGAAGTCCTGTCACCTTGTCTTTTCTCTTTTATATGTACAGCAACACTGAGAGAAGTCTTAGAGTATTCAATATGGTTTAATCATATTTTCCTAGATGCTATTTCATTTTTGCTACAATAAACTGTTGTAGTAAAGGGTTCTCTTGGAGCCCAATCTAGACTATTTATTTACTGCTACAACCTCCTCCATCAGGCAGAAGATATAGAAGCTTGAACACATGCACCAGCAGGTTCAAGAACAGTCTCTTCCCTGCCATTATTAGACTGATGAATGGACTGTCCACCTAGCTGATTACCTGTTGAGATTCCAGCAATTGTATTTAACTTCAACTAATATTGATCTTGCTAATGTTGATATTGCCTAGTGCATGCCATGTGCGATATAACATGTATGCCTTTGGCAAGTGTTTTTTATTCACCCTATGATCTGTATGTCCTTGCTCACTATAATCTGCCTGTACTGCTTGTAAACAAAGTTTTTCACTGTACTTAGGTACATATGACAATAAATCAATCAATTAATCAATCATTTGGTGCTTCCTGCTAATTCGCAGAAGTGACCTGAAAGTGAATATTGGGAATAGTTTGAAGATACATTGTCATGAGCAGACTGGTGTAAATATTGCTAGAAAAAGACACATTTGGTTGAAGCTTTTTGTCTTGTATTCATCAGGACAATTCACAAGAACACCAAATCAAAGAGGAAACTGATGTTTATGTTTCATGAGAGCATTTTTACCCTGATGGATCAATTAATGTTGATTGATAGTTAACTGCCAGGCTATATTTACATTTTAAACCAGGCAGGTTGACTCTGGTCAGGGCATTGCCCAGGGAAATAAATGGCTGTCTCCTATTTTAATAATTTGAAAAGGTGCTTGCGTGTTCTTTTTAGCTGCAAAGATCAGGGCCCTGTGCATCAACACATGTAGCTTTCAGTCTATGCAAATACACTACACTTAAAGCGTGGCTGACATTTCTAAATTGATTGTCTGTGTAATTCTTCACACATTTAGAATTATCCAGTAAAAGTTGTCCAAATACGGAATCATATCTGATGTTGGACATTGTGTTGTGAGTTTTGCAAACACTGGCTCGTTTAGTATGATCAGTACTTTGCTTATTACAAATAGCTAAAGAAGTAATTATTGTAATCAATCTGTTCAGGAGTGCTATCAAATATCTCCATGACAGGTGGGACTTGAACCTACACATTCTAGCTTAGAGGGGGAGGTAGCTCTACCACTGTGCCACAAGACACCCAAAGGATCATGCCGTTCACCAAATTAATGCTTTGGGGACGGGGTTCAATCCCACTATACCAGCTGGTGAAATTTAAACTCAATTATTTAGAAAAAAATGTTGAATTTAAAAACTAGTGTCAGTGTCTGTGAAACTCTCATCAACTATTGTTAAAAATTTTGGGTAGAAATGGTATGCAGAGATATGAGGAAAGGATGGGTGATTGGCACTATGTTATCAAGCCGGTACGGGAACGATAGGCTGAATGGCCTTTTCCTGCACCATAATGATTCTGTGATTCATTTAATCCATATTCTCCACCATGCATACTTACATTGACTCCATTCTTGTACTTGTTTGGCTCAGTTGGCAATGCTTTCACTTTGGAGACACAAAGGTATGTACTAAAGGCTCTCCCAGGACTTGAGTCTAGGTTGATATTGAATTTTGCTGCTTTGCTCAGTCAGCTGTTGTCATTAGACATCAAGGCTGCCTGCTAATTCAAGTAGATGTCAAAGTTATACAGCACAAAAACCCTGTTGAGCTTGCATGGTAACAGTGATTGTATTTGAATGTAAGAAAAAGTTGGGGATATCCGAAACTGCATAATTGCATCTTGGTTTTCTTGTTTCTTCCTTTTCCTCCAGCCTGACCATAAGCACAGTATTTAATTTAATTTAATGTGTGCTGAGAATGAGCTTTGACTTTATAAAGTTTTTCACCAGACTGATAACCTGTACCGAAAACATGGAAAATATCTGCCATTTCTACTCTTTTGGTGAAGGGAGATGCAAAACCTGTTGTAAAAACTTGAAGTCATGAAGACAATATAGATTTTGGTGTTGGAAGCCTGAGAACAGATGTTAGACCTACAAGGTAGTTATTAATACATGATAACACAATGTTATGAAACAGCACAAACATCTTCATTGTATCAGTGAAATTCCAGACAGTTGAAAAAAAACTTCTTGATATTAGGAGTGTAATTTGTCTTTGGAATGTTTAGTTATGACTATGTCAGAATAAATTGCTCAAAATGAGGTGCAGTTATCTCCCTATATATTTCCATTCCTTCAAAACTCTATTATTTCTACGTTTTTGACCAACAAGCACTGGGAAAATGAGTGAACAGGATTTGGTGCGAGATTGGAAATAGGTAGCGGAGTTCTGGATGACCTCAACTTTATAAAGGGTAGCTGGAAGCTAGAATGTCAGAACCTAGCCAAGTGGGTTTGAAATATTCAAGTCTATATTAATAAAAGCATGATGAGTATTTCAGCAGTGTAAGAGCTGTACCAGCACTGCACTTGGGCAATGTTAGAGGTGAAAAAGGCAGCATTAGTGGCAGCACAAATTATAATGCAGTGTAAGTCTGCCATAATCTTCTTAGCTTTTGCAGCTTAGACCAAAACTATACTACAGTTTCTGGTGGATTCTATCCTTAGGCTGTCTTTAGAAAAGAATTGAAGATTCTAGATGCCATGTCCTCATGAATGTGTTTTCCAGAGGCAGGGTGGTGTTGAGGGACCTCGTGGTCAATGAAATAGGTGGCTATCCCACAACCTTCCTGCCCACCACCAACTCAGTCCCCAAATACAGTGCAAAATCAGGGCTCCAAATAACCCCTTTACTTTAGGCTTATTGAAGCCCTTCAGTGACCAATTATTGCCCAATTAATGCCTTAATCTAACTGCATTGCCATACTGGGCTGAGTAGCGGCAGGCAGGTGAGAATGAGAAGGCTTTCTTAGA